CAATTACAATAATTTTTTATGAGTAGACCTACCTCCGAAATCCTACCCATTTCTAGAAAAAATTCAGTACGGGCGGAACTGTAAACGTTAATAACTTTTTAACGAAGCCTCCATCAACAAATTAATATTCTTGATTTTTGTCTTATTTTTGCTTCTGGAATCTTTCATTAAAATTTTTCCCAGGGTTGGCCGAACACCCTGTATAGAAGACCATGAACACAACCATATACTAAACTACCTCCAAATTAAAAGTTTTCCAGAAGATGCAATCGAACCATTCAAACCCAATAGAAATATCAAAAGAATATACGACCATTACTCTAGCCTTGGTACAAATGCTACAAAAAATTCGCCCTCTACTCAAAGTGCAAAGCATAAAAAACAGGATAAGCCTACTGCAAATTAAATTAACTCAAAACCCACAAAGAAAACAAAACACAGACTGGTCATTGGAAATAGAAAGTGATTCCTCTTAATATAAATGAAATATATAATACAGTGGAACATAAACGAATTTTACACCTACTACGAACAATTACAGCTTTTACTAAAACAGCCTAACTCAACTACTCTTTGCCTACAGGAAACAAATTTTAAAAAACACCATCACACAGACCTTAAAGGATTCTCTACTTTCAATAGGACGAGGGACTATGTAGACCACGCAAGTGGAAGAGTACTCATTGCGGAGTCCGAAGAATTTAATAGCATCGAAGTCCCACTTGACACAAACCTGGAAGCAATTACTGTATCTCTTCTAAAATAAGCAAATAAAGTTAATAAGCAGATATCGTTAAAAGTCATATCGTAAACAAGATATTTACCGTCGCTAAAAATGCTTGGAAACACTGCTCCATTGAATAGAATTGATAATATTGTATCCAGACCACACGAGAATTACACAATATCACCGCCTCTACTTTATTGTGACAAGTGCCAACACCCTCTAACCCTCGAACACATATTGCTCTCTTGTACAGAATACGAAACCTCACGAATCCAGGTACAACTTCCAAATTCACTAAAAGAAGAATATTAATAATACCAAGAATGCAATGAATAAAAAAAAATCTCTCTACGAATCTATTTAATTATAGACAAATAATAATCTATGTCTGATGAACAGGAAGTTGGGCATGAGACAAACTCAACCGATATAATAAATATAATACTTTATTAGGGAGCACATGGACTTACATAGTGTGGTTACAACGTATCTATCAAAACCGGAAGGAACAAACAAGAAGAACAAAAACTTGTCACGCATGCGCGCATTGACTACATATTCAAATCATATTCTTAACAATATCGCTAATAATCTCGTTGTCGATGCGACGTTAAGCTTTCAATTAAAAAAAGAAAATAGAGACAACCATTTATTCGTAAACTACCACCGTCTGTCAAGACAGTAATAGACGAAACACTGTCGCAATTCATGACTACTACAGGAAAAGCGCGACGGTCATAATTAAGTGAAACTTCACGACTGCACAGACGGCAGCCTGTCGAAAATGGACGTGCTCCCGTAATAATGCGACGAAAGACCATTTTAGATCTCGCATCTTTAATTCAGGTAACTCGGCGGAACGGCGCGCAATGGGCTGGATCGAAGATTTGAGTGACATTTTACCGAAAAATGAACTTTCACATATCGATTTTTAATCAATTGGTATCGTCTTTCAAATATCTACTGACCTTAAAAACTAAAGAATTTGTGAAATTAACTATAAATTATAGCTGTATTGAACTGTTAAAGTTTAACATTTTCAAATGTACGTTTGACGCTCGAAAAATGTACTTTCTTTGTCACGGTATTGTGACGATCTCGTTTAATGTTTTTTCTTCATTTCTTTTCTACAATAAACAGCATTATTTTCCATTACAAAATATTAAATACAACTCAAGTTATTTTATTTAGTATACTAGGAACGTAACGTTGAATGTACTACAGAAAATTGTCAATATTTTTACAATTGACAAGGAATATCTTTTGAGTCCCAAGTTGTCCCACGTTCTAACATATCTCAATGTTTTCAGGATACTTTCTTTTAGATAATATATAAAAATCGTAACCACCTTCGTCCACCTTTCTGAATTATTAATGTTCAAAGTTATTGGTGTCATGTAATCTTACGCGGGGTCGGTAGCCATCATCGGTACTCTACGGTGTTCGGCCACCTCTGGGAAAAATTTTAATGGGGGATTCTAGAAGCCAAAATAAGACGGAAATCAAGAATACCAATTTGTTGATGGAGGCTTCGTTAAAAAGTTATTAATATTTAAAGTTCCGCCCGTACTGAATTTTTTCCCCGAAAATGCGCAGGATTTCGGGAGTATGTCTATCTACCAAAAATGATTGTAATTGACCCCCGCAAGCGAAAATAATTTTTCCAGAACGATTTGAAATTTTTTAATTTATATGTTAATAATTTTTTAACGAAGCTTCCATCAACAAATTGGTATTCTTCATTTTCGTCTTGTTTTGGCCTCTAGAATCCCTCATTACAATTTTTCCCCAGGGGTGGCCGAACACCCTGTATAGCTATTTAGATAATAAGTTGATGTGTATAAGTAGGTAAAGCTAAATGTAAAAATAATGCATTGTAGAGAACGTTCGTCTGTTTTAAACAAAAGCAATGTAATCTATACCACTTTCAAGTGTCTGTTCGCTCTCCTCTTAGAGATCATAGGAACAAAACAGGACGATTGACACCAACGTTTGTTTTATTTTTTTTCTGCATTCAGTTGGAACAGAACCATCGAACTGCATAGTGAACTGCACATTAAAAATATTTTTTCCGTAGTCTAGTTTTTTCGTTCTTTTATTCAGTTTAATATTCGCTTTTTACAGTTGTGTTTTGTATAGTTTATGTTTAGTGCATGTATTCTTTTGAGTTCAGTTAAGTTTATTCTGTGTGTAACAAATTGTATTCCGAGTTTTCTTCATTACTGTTGTTACGGAAGTGTTTGTTGTCTTTTACATTAAACAATGGAGGGATACCGTACAAATAGAGATTTATTTTTTACATTAAAAAATATGTCTAAAGATATAGATGATTATGGATTCTTATATCAAAAAATTTGTGAAAATGCCAATATTTGTGCAGAAACTTCGAGTGTACTGAAAATCAGTTTAAAGAAATTTACGTCAAAATTAAAAATGAAATGGGTGCAATCGCATTATATAGAACTGCAATTTCTAAAGCGAAATAAGACCTGGTTGGAGAAGGATTTTATGTATCCAAATGATATATTGGCACAAATTTCATCAACCTCACAAAGATCGAAACCAGTAGCAGCAAAACCGTCGACTGTCCAAATTTATAAAGGAAGAAAATTATACTCTCAGTGCACCAAGAGAGAAAAAATTCGTAGAACAAAATCTTTAGTAAATAGTTTTTCTTTGGAAGAACCACTGAGTGCAGTAAAAATGAGCCTACGAAAGCATGGAATGCATAAACAATCGCGTATAATAGGTCATTGTATTCGCCTTGAAACACTCTATCAGAATGTAAGTAAAAAAACAGACTATTCCATTTAAAAAAACAGAGTTGCCTTCATATCTCTTTGACGCCTCCACTTACAGAAAAATTGGTAATACCAGATTCTGAGCCCCCCGATACCAAGTAAGTTTGATCTAATGCATTTTCTCCTATCTTCAAAAACAAGCGAGTTATTCAGGTGATCTGTTTAAAATGCCCCACCCTGTATATAAAATAAGGAATACACTTCTGGTTTATTTCGCTACATGTGTGGGAAACAATTACATTTAAAACATTGCAAAGACCAATTAAATAAACACAAATATAAAATTAATTAGATATAGTAGAAGTAATTACAAAATATTCTGTACATTATTAAAACGGGAGAATTTTGTAATATTTTTCTGTGCAAACCGCATTTCGATATCTTTAATGGTTCGAAAGTCATACTAAAATGTCACTAAAATTTCTGATCCGGCCCACTGTGCGGCGGAGAACGACGCTGGCGTGACAAACCGGTGGCAAAATAATCAAAGATTATATATCGGTGTCTCGTAGTCGCAATCACGGGTCTGCAGCGACACTATGCTGTGGATGCTCGGGCGACCGTAGTTGGCGAAGTTTGACAAGTTGGCGTAACAGGAACGCCGGTACCAAGTGCCAGGAAAGTTTCCGGGATGGATCGGTTGATGCACGGCCACGGAAGAAGGATGCACCGTGTCGGGAAAGGACGTGTTTCGCGGGACAAGCGCTACGTACACACGGAAAACGCTGAGTCTGCATCATCTTTGGGGCGAGTTTCGCGTGCATCGTGTCGAGGATCTCGGTAGTTCCGAAAGACGCACGATACAAACTCACACAACAATTCCTAACGCACGATTTGCTTGCAAATATTCGCTGTCTATTCCCAGTGGAATTCTCCGTATCCTCGAATAATAATAAAACGAGCACGTTAACACCGACGCGTTTGGCCGACGTTCTGAAATCTTGGCTAACAACGCCCGGCGGAATACTATGAATTCTTTGTCCGTCGCGGAACGATCCTCCGCCAAATGCCAAAGATGGTATCCACTTTCGCGAAAAATTACATCTCCTTTCTTGGCGCGTTTCGCCGTAGCCCGAGCATACTAGCGGCCAACGGACGGGACAAACCTAATGCTGCTTAACGACGACGTGGAATTTTGCAATCAACATTCTGAACCGTTAAAATTACTTGCAACAGTCCTCGTGTGTACGTGCGTCCTGAGGCAGAATCACTTGTTGAATACTGCTGGAACACTTCGTTGGAAGGTGCTTGATGCAAATTTTGATCGCGTTTGCGAACCCGAGGGTGATGCTTGCAAAGTTTGGTACTTAGAAACTATTTATTATTCGATCGTTTCTTACGCAGCATCAAGTTGTTTTGAACGAGAAGGAATATCACGTTCGAATAGAAGGAATTTCGAAAGATTTTGTAATTGATAAATATTCTTAAGCCTTTAGTTTTGCATGCAAGACATATACAACGTTAATCATTACCGACTACTTCGAGAAATCCAGCGACGTTGATCATGGGATCGGTATTGACTTGGCACATGTACAATCCTCTGTCTGTTTCTTTCGTATCTTTGATGTGGAGGGACCAGTTACGATGACCGGTATGCGTCACGGAGATTCGGTTATTTTTCGTGATAACGTGAGTTGTTATCGTGAGAATCGTCTGTGTGTCCATACGGAGCCACGCCACCTGCAACACAGGGATATCGTCTAAACTTTCGAGCACACAGATACAAATTATATCTTGAACCATTCCATGTTATTAAAATCAACGCATTGGCTCGAGACATAGTTTAGCAATTTTTATAAATTTGGCCCGTGCGTTAAAAGTGTTGCATCGAGGTGCAAGGAAGCTACCTTGAAGAGTAAATTCAATTTTAAACTACCTTTCTTATTTTGGAAAACAAGGGACGTTATTGGCATCTCCTAAATCTTGGCACCCTCATATGAAATATAGCTTTGCCCTAAATTGGACAATATATCATGCTAAAATCTAATAAATACAGTTTAAAGAAATAAATTCCACACCGTCGAACGTTCAACACTTTTACTCGTAATTTGATAACAAATTTAATTTTCAATACACAAGCAAAATTGAATTACTTCAAATTTTCTGGCATTTGTTTCACGTACCTACGTGGCTCATTTTGTTACTGTGGAGCATACTACATATATCTAGCATATTGCGAGCAAATGGTTAAAAGACCACTACACAGAAAATGCTGAAATTCATTCAGTTTCGCTCGCGCAATTAATCAAAGGAATTTGTTAAAAACTAGGAGGCTCCTCCCGTTGCATTGCGTTTCGCCAACCCTTGCTTCCCATCCTCGACATCGCTACCGTGCCAAACAGAACGCCTTCCGCCATTCTGGATTTAGATTAAAATTCTAGTAGTTCAAGTACAGTTTGACGTGTCTGTCAATTTAAATTTTAATACGTTCCACCTCTTTGAAGTCGTTTTCGCTCATTTTTATATATTCAGTCGAGTATCCGAAGACTTTTACACGCCTCCAACAATTCTTGACGTGCTCGTATGTACTTGCCTATCTGAAGTTGCGCTTCAAGTCAAAAAAAGATAAACAGAGACAATTACTGTGACTTATACACTGCGTGTCATAAATTATAAAAACATCTTAAAATTATCTATTATATAAGAATATACCATATTTGAGATCACGTTAGCAATCTACAGTGGCTGTCACTTAAAATTGTACATCTAGCGATTCAGTCGATTTTCATTTATAAATCGTAAAATTTACAATAAATGACTGAAACACAGATACAGGCATATAGTTAAATGTTTCTTTGTTTAATATATCACAAAAGTAGAACGAAACTTTCAGTAATTGTTAATATAATAAATGCAAATTGTCGCTACGTATGAAATAAAAACAGTATGTACTTACTTTTTTTTATATTTAATATGTATACGGCTTATGTTAATATTTTGTAGGGTACCCACGTGAATTTTCAATATATTGTGGTCATCGAAGTATGGATTTAACTAACTTTTTTAAAAGTTTTTCTGATAGTTTCTTTATTTGTAATATTATGTAATCACAGATGTATTATTACATTAATCTCGGATAATTGGGAAAGTGTTTCAAGAACTTTAGTGCTATTATACGATAGTTAACTTTGAACCATGTAAAAATTATATTACAAATCATTGTCAGCATAAAGTTTAAAATTATTTAAAAGTCCCATTTTGTTGTAACTTTACTTTAAATTACTTTTTAATACATTCAGATAGATCCATTTGTCTGTTACATTATCTATAAGTACTAAATTTTCAACGCCATTTACTTCACATTTCAAGAATTATTAATGAAAATCGGCTATATCGCTAGGTGTACGATTTTTAATGACACTCACTGTATGTTTCCTTAGAAACAGTTGAGTTACATTTATTCTAAAAGACTGAACTATAGAAAACTGATTCGTTACTGTTTCATAACTATAGAAGCATTCGAATGTTGTTTTCTGTCGATATTTCGACAGTTTTGTTTTGTCTAGTGTGTTCAAAGTGTGATAATACTAATTTGGTTAATCATACCACATGGAAGTTATTTAAGTAAACAAGAAAAAGGCAAAATTTTAGCTTTTCACGGAAGTGATGTGAAAATACGTGAAATTGCACGTAGATTTAATTGTTCTCACAATGTTGTGATGAATTTTTGTTTAAATCTTCGATAAATATGGGCAAAATAAAAAGGGGGAACCAAAGAAGGAGCTTTCCTCCAGATTTTAACGTTTAATCCTTAACACAGTGAGCAATTCCAGTAAAACACTAACAAGGAAGGTTTTTTAGGTGTCCGCCTCCGATTGTTCTGAATTTTGGATATGTTTTAAAGGGCCGAAAAATAAGATATACATATTTTTTTATATCGACCCGTTTTCATATTTAGGGGGTGAAACGACCCCCTAAAGTTTCAGCTACAATAGGCTATCTCAAAAACTATCATAGATAGAAGAAAACTTCTTAAGGAAAAGTTTCATGGTTCTTTATGTACATATAAATGCTGGTCATCAATTTTGTAGAAAATAATTTGTTTATAACATTATTTTAAAAAAAATCATAATTTACGTAATAACAAAAAAAAACACAATTTCTTTTCTGAATCCATTGATATATCACGTAGTATGTTTGCCTCTTACAATTTTGCGTATTTCAATATTATTGATTTTCTGAATCATGTAGACTTTGCTTTCGAACAGAACACACAAATGAAATGTGCACTCTGTGATGAAACACCGATAGTTAGATGTTCTTGGTGTAAAAAAGCATTTTGTTTAAAACATTTTTTTCATGAATATCACTTCTGCGACATATTTGAATATTAAGTGAATCATTTTATAAACTTCATACATTATGTAAAAAATTCAGGTGATAAATTTGTACTATGTATACATACATTTGAAATATAATTGCACCAATCATGTTAGTAGTACCAGAAATTAATTTATATTAATTATATTCCTTATCACTTGAATGTATCGCATATTAATACGTAAATACTAAAGTAATTTTTATTAATATTGTAAGCTATAAATAACTTTACTAGTGCCTAGTATACATAGTAAACACCAGATATTATAATGGACATTAACCATACATTATATCTGATATGACCGCCACCCGATGTTTGTGCGCAACACCTATATGTATAATATTGAAATACGTAAAATTGTAAGAGGCAAACATACTATGTGATATATCAATGGATTCAGAAAAGAAATTGTGTTTTTTTTGTTATTATGTAAATTGTGATTTTTTTAAAAATAATGTTATAAACAAATTATTTTTTACAAAATTGATGACCAGCATTTATATGTACATAAAGAATCATGAAACTTTTCCTTAAGAAGTTTTCTTCTATCTATGATAGTTTTTGAGATAGCCTATTGTAGCTGAAACTTTAGAGGGTCGTTTCACCCCCTAAATATGAAAACGGGCCGATATAAAAAAATACGTATATCTTATTTTTCGGCCCTTTAAAACATATCCAAAATTCAGAACAATCGGTGGCGGACACCTAAAAAACCTTCCTTGTTAGTGAAATTAAATTGATACTTCAATTAAATGTGTCTCATTCGACAGTACATCGAATTATTATAAGTAGTTCTCACATAAGAAGATAAAATTTAATTAAGGCTTCACGACTATTAAGTCGGTATAAAGAAGCTTGTTTAAATATGTTCAAAACTATTTAAATTCGCGTTCGTCCGTGAAATATTATTTCTCGGCCGCGAGTCCCGTATCCGTTTGTGTACGTGACATTCCGGAAGGTTAGGCTGTCGCCGAGTTCGTTCGGCGTACAGACAGTTTAAAACCGCGGCCGTTTACGTGTTTTGTACGCTGACCTCACGCGAAGATTCGCTTCAAACGCCATTTAAACGGCATAGTGACGTCAGCATCGAGAGAGAGAACCGTATCGTTAATTGAAAAGAGATCGACAATCAGATTCGACAGCGCCACGTCGCGACGACGAGGCGCGACCGAGTCTTCGTCTGTCGATGCTCGACGATTTTGGAAATTATTCACGAGCCGACTGCCAACGGGAGCGGATCCCAGACGATCTCGCTCCTCAAAGTACGCGCTCCGCCGAGCAAGCAAAACGCTTCTCGGCAAGAAATAAATTTTGGACTCTGTAAAGAATTCTCATCGTTGCTGCGATTTGAGATTTCAAAAAAGAACAATCTCTTTAAGCGAAGGAAGTGGTCTAGTGCACGCAGCGCGTGACGTGACCGCGGACGCGAGAAGTTGATTGTACGTTGCAGTCGTTGCCGCGACCGCGACGTAAGGGACTCAGGGTGCACGCACCTAGAATCCCTTCAAAGCTATACGGCTTGGGAGCCTCCCAAAGGTCCTACCGATAGTTCGGTACCGCCTCGTGGAGAGCTCTCCGTGCAAAGGTCACTGCGAACCCTATCCGAAAACCCCGTTGGTGTACGAGTCGACCGTACACCCACCGGCGGAGTTCGGGTTCAAAGCGCCTCCCACTCTTCACGCCGCCTACCACATACGGTCCCCGTACAAACGGTCGCCGGGTAGGCTTTATAGTGAGGGTGGACCTGCTTGGGATTTCCTACTGTAAATTCGTTTACTGCACAGTCCCCGAAATAATCGGTCGCTGTGTAGTAGTTATAAAGCGTTGAAGGAAATTCCCTTGCACGACGTACCTACGTCGATCTGCGCGGTGAGCGTGCTCACGGGATCCACACACTTGGAGCTTTACGACCTCCATTTGGTGACCCGTCCGTGGCGACACAGAGCCTCCGACAGTTACGAGTCAATTCTCCGCTGTTCAGGACGAAAGTCTCGTCGATCGTTTTAATTAATAACGATTCGCGAGCAACAATAAAATACAGTCCACTTGCTTACGCTTAACGACAGCTGATCTCCCCCCTCCAAGCGCGACGATAGTCGCGAGGAGAGCGAGGCGAACAGCTGACGAGCGTGTTTACGATACGTGCAATCACGTATTTAATTCTGGTCGATCCTTTGTTACAGGAATCAAGGGCCAGTATCGCAGCCAGGGCAACGCCAATAGGGCAACCCGGCCCGACAAGAAAAATTATATTTATTTTCAACTTTTTATTTTTTATTTTTGTATTTTTTTCTACTTTTTTTTAACCTTTATAAAAATAAAAGGCTTGTCGCTGCGCGACAAGCGAAAATACAAATAA